TGACGGCGTTCAAAGGGAGTGCCATTTTCATGTTCAGGAGGTCAAGGAGCATCATTCCTGAGATTTTGAACGGAATCGGAGGGGTCCGCCGAACGTGCATATGCAACACCTATGCAATTTGAATGTCCATGGATGCGTATATCTGGAAAAGTTCTTGACGGCGTTCAAAGGGAGTGCCATTTTCATGTTCAGGAGGTCAAGGAGCATCATTCCTGAGATTTTGAACGAAATCGGAGGGGTCCGCCGAACGTGCATATGCAACACCTATGCAATTTGAATGTGCATGGATGCGTATATCTGTAAAAGTTCTAGACGGCGTTCAAAGGGAGTACCATTTTCATGTTCAGGAGGTCAAGGAGCATCATTCCTGACATTTTGAACGAAATCGGAGGGGTCCGCCGAACGTGCATATGCAACACCTATGCAATTTGAATGTGCATTGATGCGCATATCTGGAAAAGTTCTTGACGGCGTTCAAAGGGAGTACCATTTTCATGTTCAGGAGATCACGGAGCATCATTCCTGAGATTTTGAACGAAATCGGAGGGGTCCGCCGAACGTGCATATGCATCACCTATGCAATTTGAATGTGCATGTATGCGTATATCTGGAAAAGTTCTTGACGGCGTTCGAAGGGAGTACTATTTTCATGCTCAGGAGGTCAAGGAGCATCATTCCTGAGATTTTGAACGAAATCGGAGGGGTCCGCCGAACGTGCATATGCAACACCTATGCAATTTGAATGTGCATGGATGCGTATATCTGGAAAAGTTATTGACGGCGTTCAAAGGGAGTACCACTTTCATGTTCAGAAGGTCAAGGAGCATCATTCCTGAAATTTTGAACGAAATCGGAGGGGTCCGCCGAACGTGCATATGCAACACCTATGCAATTTGAATGTGCATTGATGCGCATATCTGGAAAAGTTCTTGACGGCGTTCAAAGGGAGTACCATTTTCATGTTCAGGAGATCAAGGAGCATCATTCCTGAGATTTTGAACGAAATCGGAGGGGTCCGCCGAACGTGCATATGCAACACCTATGCAATTTGAATGTGCATGGATGCGTATATCTGGAAAAGTTCTTGACGGCGTTCAAAGGGAGTACCATTTTCATGTTCAGGAGGTCAAGGAGCATCATTCCTGAGATTTTGAACGAAATCGGAGGGGTCCGCCGAACGTGCATATGCATCACCTATGCAATTTGAATGTGCATGGATGCGTATATCTGGAAAAGTTCTTGACGGCGTTCAAAGGGAGTACTATTTTCATGCTCAGGAGGTCAAGGAGCATCATTCCTGAGATTTTGAACGAAATCGGAGGGGTCCGCCGAACGTGCATACTGCATATGCAACACCTATGCAATTTGAATGTGCATGGATGCGTATATGTGGAAAAGTTCTTGACGGCGTTCAAAGGGAGTGCCATTTTCATGTTCAGGAGGTCAAGGAGCATCATTCTTGAGATTTTGAACGGAATCGGAGGGGTCCGCCGAACGTGCATATGCAACACCTATGCAATTTGAATGTGCATGGATGCTTATATCTGGAAAAGTTCTTGACGGCGTTCAAAGGGAGTGCCATTTTCATGTTCAGAAGGTCAAGGAGCATCATTCCTGAGATTTTGAACGAAATCGGAGGGGTCCGCCGAACGTCCATTTGCAACACCTATGTAATTTGAATGTGCATGGATGCGTATATCTGGAAAAGTTCTTGACGGCGTTCAAAGGGAGTACCATTTTCATGTTCAGGAGATCAAGGAGCATCATTCCTGAGATTTTGAACGATATCGGAGGGGTCCGACCATGTCCGACAAATTTGCTTTATGTGTGGCAAATTCGAATATCCCCTGTATTTAACTGTTAGCTGTATGAAAGAGGTTTTGACGCTTTTTTTACATTTTGGTACAGGAACGCCCCTTGGATTTCAGTATATTGTCTTTGTAGGAGGAAGTGCGAATGTCCATCATAAATATAAAGCTGTCACGTGTCAAATAGCGCCAAAAGGTGAGACAAGGTACATGACCTTGAACGACCTTGAACTTTAGATGCTCATCCTGAGAAAACTATGGGACGGCGTTAAGTACAAATTAGTTTTTTGGGATCAGCGCTTATGTTTACATCAATTCAGGAGTTTTTGAAAAATTTGGAGGGGTCCGATTTTTCCAATAAGAGTTACGGTCCAGAATATGTTAGCAGTAATACAAATGTGAATATTTTGAGAACCACTTGACGGCGTGAAATAAAAACATGATTTTCGCAATCAGGAGCTCAAAATCTATAAGCTGTGCGATTTTGAGCCAAATCTGAGGGGTCCGCGAATGTGCACGCGAATCTGAATGTGAATATAATGCAACTTTATGCACGTTGGTTTTTCGCGAATAACTCGCGTAAAAAGCGGCCGATCGCGACGAAACTTTCAGTACCCTCGCGTCCATCAATTTCACACCTACCCTGAAAATTTCATGACCCTGACCCAAATGACCTTTGACCTGTGACCTACTTTTCGAGACCATGTTTGGCTGGAATCGCGATTCGGCGTATGTCGGCTCGCATTAGCCGCGCGTTTGCAGTCTTTTCGTGGTTTCAAGCGTTCAAACATGTGATATGATGTTGCTCCCATGCATTAGGGTGGGTGTCAAGGTCACCTGAAGGTCAGGTCAGGTCATTGACCTTTGATGACCTCGGTTCACTTTTTCGAGTTTTTCATGTTTCTAGGCCAGTTTTTGGAGCTGAATTCGAATTTAGCAACCATATTAACATTTACGAACTAGTTTTGGTGCCTTCGTAACATGTTACGAAGCTGTCAGAGGCGGTTGCCACCTACTACGAATACCCTTACTGGTTGACCTGACCTGACCTGACCCGACCTGGCCTAAATACATGAAGACATCATCTGTGATCAAAACTAACATGATATTCGTGATCAGCACCCCGAAAAACCCCATAGCAGCCACACTTTACGACGTTCTAACAGGGTCCGATTTTCCCGCCTTTGGGGTCATTGACCTGACCTGCAAGGTCAACCAATGACCTAGGACCTTAAAATTGGGTATCATCGGCTTCCTCTCGTCACGGGCAACACGCTCGTTTTTTCCGCGAAGCTCTAGCTCGATCAGGGGCGAAACGGCAAGGGGGGGGGGTCCAACGGACCCCCCTCCCTTATACGTTCGCGGCTGGAAAAACACCAATACGGGCGAGGGTTAAAAACCGTTAGATCTCCGCTGACGTCACAAATTCTAAGGGGGCATTCCAATGCATTAGCCCCTTAGAATCCGAAAACTGCAAGTTTGAAATTCCATATCTTCGAATTAAAGCATTTTTCGATGTTGTGAGTGTCCAAACCGGTATTTGCAGGTCATGGCCACCAATTTGGCTATCTCAACTCAAAACTAATGTTAAGGTGGGAGGGTCCCTTTAAGGAGCCGTATCGGAAGATGTCCAGCAGGCACTGCCATATTCTCCCTGAGACGAGATAAGATGCGTGCAACTTGCCATGGCTGAATTTCAAATGGGATATCATTTGCGGGCAGGTAGCAGGGGAGTTCATCAGTCTGCATGGGCCCGTACGTCGTACATACTTGTGCGAAATGATTGTTACGAGGTTCGCCAAATCGACCTCACAATTGTTTTCAGAAGAAAAATCTAGGTTCAAAGGTTTTGGCATGCGGTTAGTGAGTTTTGCAACTTGCTTATACCAGTTTGCGTTTCTATCGGATGCAATTTTGTTCATCTGCCGTTTGTACCATCGCTCTTTTGCAGACGATCTCATTCCTGACAGACTCAAGTCTTTTTAGCTTGTCATACTGGTGGCGACTTTGTGCTCTATTTCGGCGGTTAATGAGCTCCCTTAGGCGCTTTGTAATCCATGGTGGTTCATCACTTTTGCATTTATAGCTTATAAGTGGGAAGAAGTGTTCGTATGCTGTCAACAACCTCTCTTCCGACAGTTCCGCGGCTTTGCCTATGTCTTTTGTACCTATATCTTGCCAATCTTGTTCACAGATCCACTGTCCGAATCGTCTGATACAAGATTCCTTAATAGGCCTAACCCGTCCGACATTCATATGTTTTATGTTTTGCATCAGAATTAATCCAGAGCACCGTCTTGGGGTCCAATGTTCCAACCGCTGCTGCTTTAATCGGCATATTTTGTGAATTGATATCTGTTACTATCATATCTAGGATAGACGTGCCCCTTGTCGGCTCTGTTACAATCTGATGTAAAGAGAGCTGTTTGGTTAGTGAGCCGACATCGAAAACAGTATTAAAATCTCCTAATAAAACCGTGTATGCCTTTGGTCTCAGTGAGCGAAGATAGTCGACTGAGGGGGCGTCGAAGTCTAGTAGGAAAATCTGGAAATCCCCGGCGTGACGTCACGTCGGGGATGACTGACGACACCTTGCACTGAAAGATACGGCAGAACGGCTATTTTTGAAAAATGATTAAAAATACTTCTGTGCTGTTATGACACATAAAATGCTTATCAGCATGTTCCTCATCATGTGATAAAGGTATATCCGTGGTCGAAAATAGCCGAGACCCTCCCAGTTTCCAACCATCGACCTGATAAGCAAAGGGTGCAAGCGTAATCCTTAAGGGCGACTTTCCGTTACATATCTGTACATATGCATCCTTATGGAAATCGGTAGTTAGGCGATTGGCGACGCGCGCAACATCTGTGCTGCGACTGTAGCGACACCTGGTGGCTGCTTTTCTGCTGTATGTAGATATTGGGGTTTTGCCAGATGTGGTTCCTACTGCTACACCACTATGTTGACCCAATACTAGAAAAGTTATTTTGCTAGTAAAAGGCGAGCAAATTGAAAGTTGATTTATAAAATTGCTTATAAATGATTACGAGATAATAATAAAGAAATTTTGATTGAATAATTGCTTAAATAATCAACCGTGAAACTATATTCTGGCAGGTTTAGTAGAAAAAGTCCGTGCAACCTTGTATTTAGGGCCTTGGTCGCACTGAAAACAAATTGGCCGGGCTGTGGCGGGTTATCCTTTAATTAAGTGTAAGATACGTCCGGGTTAATCACTCAAGTGCGGGTAGAACCATGCGAGTAGATAGGGTACCTGCTTGCGATATCTGGAAAGAACAGATAAATCCGCGCTGACAGGGGCTTGATACACTTTTTACGTGTAGTTGCTAGCCGACGGTGGCGGATAGCGGGGAAAATCCGGGACTGATAGGTATCGGTTACTCTCGCCAGGCGGATTCATTATATATGTATAGCGCGGATAAGTGTCACGTACTCCCTCACACCGGGTTGTCAAGTTTGCCTGGTGGATTCATTCACCCGCCAACTGCGGATACACTTCCCGCGCATGCGCGTTGCCGGCGGTGCACCTCCGGCAACGAATCTCGTGCGACGCCATCTTCCTGACTGTGTTGACGGCGCTGTGGTTTGGCTGTGGTACTGCGTCTGCTGTGGACTTCTGGCTGCTGAATTTCGCGGATAGAGGTAAGGACGCTCTCCAAAACTAACTTTTTAACCCGGAGCGATATACAGAGTGAGTGTACCCTTTCACTTAGGGCCAAATGATTATTGCAATGCATCTCGTGTAGATATAGGTACCTACCTATTGGGTGACCACGTGGACTCGTAATCGTTTTTCTCTGTGGCCACAGGTCATATCGTGCGGCGAATCCAGTAAGGCGAAAGCTCAGATGACAATGCACAATTCGGTTTTGCATGTATGTGGGAATGGTTTATGATACGGGCTATTTTTTCAGGCGTACGAATCGAAATGGGAGGTTTCGACCACTGAAAGCCAAGTGGAGAGACGTTGACAGACACAAAACGACCGGTGGAGGAGTGGTGCATGGCGCAAGGCACCGGGGCCTTATGACCTTAACTCATATTTAGCTCGTATAATTCATGTGTGTGGATATTGTTGTACGTCTAACTAAATAAATAAATAAGACCATATTTAAGTGCTTACGAATGTGACAGCAACCGAATGCATGGGAAGGGGGAATTGGATGCTCAAAGTTAACGAAAATTATAGATTGCACCAATTAACCTGCAGTAAACGGGTAATAAGTATCAGTCAGTGGCGTATATTTGATACCCGGTGTAGGGTGGTCAAAAATGGTGGTGGATAGGGGTACCCTTCAGATGCGGATTTTACTCCGCGTCAACGGATCGAGGTACCCGGCAGTAGCGGATATTTAGATTCGAGTAACCCTCCTTGATCGGGTAATCTATACGGATTAACCCGCTGTCAACAGATAAACAGTATCCGCGAGGCACGTATATTTCGTATCCGCTCCAGAGTGGTCAAAAATGGTGGTGGATAGGGGTATCCTTCAAATGCAGGTTTTACCCGCTGTCGCCGGATCAATTTGTTTTCAGTGCGACTGTTCCTATCAGATGGTCAGCTAACATCCGCTGGTGCATTGCATGGGCGTTTGGCGGGAGGTAAACGCCTGCCACAATTATGCTGTTTGGACGCGATGGCTTCAGGACACACCAGCAGACTTCAACGTCATCAGGAACACGAACTCCATGCTCCACGTACTGCATGGCGTTCTTCATGTATAGGATCAAACCACCTCCCTTACTCTTGTGGCGGTGAAGTTTCGGTCCCGGCGGATGGTCTTGTATCCAGTTTGTTCTATTTGTGCGTCAGGTATGTTGTGATCCAGGTGCGTCTCTGTGATCACGGCTACATCTATGTTATATCGGTGCAACAGTAATGCAAGCTCAGTCTGCTTTGTGTTTGCACATATGCCATTTACATTAGCAGTGAGAAAATTGGGCCTCTTTCGGATTGGATTGAAGCGATCGATGTTCTAACGATCCATTGCGTCCTCCAAGGGAGCGAGGGCATAAGCCGTGACTGTTTGGTTCAACAGGCGTACTGGTGGTCTTCTCGGCCGGCCCAGTTTTCAGAGGTGACTAGTCTAAAAAACCTGCGACCTCACTCATGATGAGCTGAGATACATTTCTGGCTCCATCTCTGGTATACAGGTAGCCTGTACGGTTAATTCCACCATGCGCACATTCATTTAGACGGTCGCGCAGATCCAGGTATCTTGCCCCGTACGCCGCGCACAGCTCTCCTAGCTGTTCATTTACAAGCCGCGCTGCATCGGCTACTTCATGTTCCACATCACGTCTCTCCAGGACGGAACACACAAATGCATCTCGTGTGGCACCTTGTTTCTTAGCAGTGCTGATCACATGTGCGAAGCCCTCAGCACGCCATCGACAGTGGATCGAGTAACCGCCTCTTCGCCATAGTGGATTACAACGTCTACTTGTTCGGCGCTCGTTTTGTTGATGGCAGCAGGAAGATGGTTCCTGACATCAGCGCTGTCAACTTCCTTGGCTGAAGCGAATATGACATTCTTTTCAAATATGAACTCTTCATTTGCTGCCATGCTGACTCGTCTTACATTTTCTCCGCCAATCATCACAGCTCCGGTTGCAAAACGACTTTTCCGTTTGTTAGCTTTCTTCTTTTTGACAAGCGTCCAGCCATCATTATCGTTAAGATCGTTTCCTTTACATTTTTCTCATAGGCGTAGGAACGTTTTCGAAAGTGGGGGGGCCAAGGTCCCAGAGGTCCAAAACCTAACCCTACCCCCAAAATCCGATTTCTCCTCGGATTTCGGCCACTTCGTTTTCGCAAACCTGATCAGAGATAAAAAAAAATCGAGACAAAAACAAAAACAAAATTGGTTAAAATTTCAGGGACGTCCATCAACGTCCATAAACTCAAACTGATGGACGCGTTCCCCTGTCCTCCGCAGCCGTTGGCACCCATGCAAATTCCAGAGGCATCCAGCAACTTTTTCATTACGAGCAAGCGTGAAACGTGCAAAGCGAGTCTTTTCAATATGCCCTATAAAAATCAGCATGAACGGCCCAGCTAGGCTCAGCCAGACCTATAACGTTTTTAAGAGGTATTATATCAGCGACCACTGCAACTGGGCTGATTGACTATCAGAGGCCGGTGTGGGACTTTTAGAGGTCGGTCTGGGCCATCAGAGGCCAGTTTAACCCTCGTCGGACCGGACCTATAGGTTTTCTGGGGCGGGGGGCGGGTACGACCTTCCTCGCCGTTGCGCCCCAGGTTGAGCTAGCGCGTCGCGGAAAAACGAGCGTGTGCGCTGTTACAAGACGCAGAGATCGATACCCGATTTTAAGGTTCTAGGTCAACCGGTGACCTCTGAGGTCAGGTCAAGTGCCTCAAGGCACGGTTCCGTTTTTGGTGAATAACTTCGCAAAAAAAACGGCCGCAGAGCCGCGATTTTGCCAGCATCGTGTTCGCCTCTCTCAGGCGCGTCGAATGATGTACTTTTTGTTTGGGTGAGGTAAACTGAGGGTGTTGACCACGGGTGACGGTCAGGTCAGCGCCCCCAGGTCACGAAATTGGTCGAAGGAGGTCATGTCGCATATCATTCGATTCGGCAGGTCTTCCTGAGTCCATTGGTGGCTTCCGCGACTCGCTAGCTCAATTTGATCGGTAGTTATTGACGACAAACTTATATGACCCTTATAACTTTATAAATGACGTCGCGCAAGGTCAACATTGCAAAAGTGACGCATCGAACCTTGCAAGGAGTGCATGAAAGATTCAGTGTGCTTGAGATAGTTGAAGATCGTTTACAGCGCCAGAAAAAAAGTTTTCAGTTTATCCCCATTGACTTATACCTAATGGTGAGGTCACGAAAATGACCTTAGGAAAAATTCGAGATGTACAAGTTGTGAGACTCCTAATGGATACTAGGTCCTCCAAGGTTCATTTCCCTGTGAAATCTCTTCTGGCAGTGTTGCGAAGTTGCGACATCTGAAGACCGTGCAGAGGTTCACTTATGACGTCATAGGTCAGTGACCTGACCTGACCCAAAAATGTGATTGGTGTCAAAAGATCCGGCTTGGATCAAAGGTCAGGTATGCCAAGTTTCAGCTCTCTATCGCTAGCGTGTTCGGAGCTATCGCAAAAAAAAACCTATGGGGGGGGGGCGGCACCCGCCCCCCCCCCCATCGGCCGGCGAGGGTTGAGGCCCTCAGAGACCAGTACAGGGCCTGCAAAGGGCAGGATGAGACATTTAGATGCCGACTTGGGCCATCAGAGGCTAATGTGGGCCCTTACAGGCCAGCATGGGCCCTCAGAGGTCAGTGTGGGACCCTAAAATGCCGGCATGGGCCGTTGTTGGACCCCAGAGGCCAGTAGAAGGCCCTCAAAAACCAAGATGGGCCTCAGAGGCCAGCATCGGGTCTTCAGAATCCAGTGCAAGGCCCTCAGAGGCTAATGCGGGTCCTTACAGGCCAGCATGGGCCCTTAGAGGTCAGTGTGGGGCCGTAACAGACCGGCATGGGCGGGACCTGGAACCTAGAGACCAGCGGAAGGCCCTCATAGGCCAAGGTGGGCCCTCAGAGGCCGATGCGGACCCTTAGAGACCGGCATAGGATCTTCAGAATCCAGTGCGGGGCCCTTAGAGGTCAATGAGGGACCCTAAAATACCAGCATGGGCCGGTTTTGGACCCCAGAGACCAGCAGAAGACCCTCAAAAACAAAGATGGGCCTCAGAGGCCGGCATCAGGTCTTCAGAATCCCGTACAATGCCCTCATAGGCTAATGACGGGTCCGTACAGGCCAGCATGGGCCCTTAGAGGTCAGTGTGGGGCCCTAAAAGACCGGCATGGGCCGGCGTTGGACCTCTAAGGCCAAGATGGACCCTCAGAGGCCGATGCAGACCTTAGAGGACGGCATCGGGTCTTCAGAAATCAGAATTCAGTGCAGGACCCTCAGAGGCACCTAAAGGTTAGTCTTGGGACCCCAGAGACAGAAATGAGGCCACCAGAGGCCGGTGTGAGGCCCTCAGACGCCGACTGGGCCCTTGAGGCCGGTTTAGGGGCCCTCAAATGAGGTCAATGTGGGTTCTCAGCGGTCAATGTCGGCGCTTGACCGCCACTGAAGTGCCCTCCAAGATCAGGTGTAGGACCCTCAAAGACTGGCTTGGGAGCTGTTAATAGCTAGCGTGGGATTCTTCAGCCTCGTGACAATCGAATAAGGGCCAGAGCCCCATACGCCCATGGGGGCCCATTGGTTGTTTTGGGGGGGGCAAATGATATGATGGCCCCCTGATTAGCCTTTGGAGGGGGGAAGGGCATGGCCCTGACCCCCTCTCTGCGACCGCCACTGCACTGAAAGTGGAAGGGAAGGGGCAGATACAGACATTGCTGGCCCCCAGCCTGTTTGAGCCGAGGCGGGGGCATGGTCACCCTGGCCCCCAGCTAGTACGCCTTTGACGAACTATGCCGACCCCAAGCAGATCCAGTCAAGCGTTGGTCGTTTGTATACGCATTCTCCTGCACCGTGCTAGTATTGTCTTATACCTTTTCAGTGCTCGCTGTCCCGTGCCTCGTATTCAACAAAATGCTGTCACCAGGACCCACAGTCTTGTCTCTGATATGGTTTCCTTCATTGAGTGAAGGAAATTGCGGTCAATAACGCTGTAGAAACAAAAGGGAATCTTCATTAAAGGGCAAGCTGAATTGTTGTCAAGTTACCGGGTGGTAGCACTGGTACCTAGGTACAGACAGACACTTAAGTCAGCAAAAAGTGGGGGGGGGGGGGCCAGTTAACATTGCTGGCCCCCCCACCTCCGAAAGTGGGGGGGCCATGGCCCCCCCGGCCCCCCCTGTTCCTACGCCTATGATTATTTTTTCTTCCTCTTGATTGTCCTGCGGTTCGTCTTTTTCATAATCCTTGGTTCGCCTTTCTTTTTAATCCCATCTTCTGAATGTTGTACGTTGTTGTCGATGTTCACGTCTTCTACCCTTAGCCCTTTTGGTCGTGTTGCCTTCTCGCTTGTTGTCGTCGGATTCCATTCGTTGATCCGTTCTTCTATATTCTTCACACGGCATCCAGGCCAAGCCGCTCGATTTCATCAGTGACATTTCGGATTATGTTCTGCAAATCAGTTGCCAGCGAGTTGCCTATTTTCTGCACTTCTTCGGATACGCGATCTTTAACTGCCTTGTCAATCAATGCTCTGATGTCTGACATATTCATAGTTTCTTGACGGCAGTCTCCCTGAAATTTTAAACATTTTTTTGTCTCGATTTTTTTTTACCTCTGAGCATGTTTGCGAAAACAAAGTGGCCGAAATCCGAGGAGAAATTGGATTTTGGGGGTGGTAGGTCAGGTTTCAGGTCTCTGGGAGCCTGCCCCCTTCCCCCACTTTTGAAAACGTTCCTACGCCTATGGGTAGACAGCAGGAGTTGTCAGCCACCACCGGACTGGAGGCGACTGCCGGAGTCGGTAGACGGCAGGAGTCGTCAGCCAACACCGGACTGGAGCGACTGCAGGAGTCTGTAGACGGCAGGAGTCGTCAGCCGCCACCGGACTGGAGGCGATTGCAGGTCGCAGGAGTCGGTAGACAGGGAGTCGTCAGCCGCCACCGGACTGGAGGCGACTGCGTCCGGACGGCAGGAGTCGTCAGCCGCCACCGGACTGGAGGCGACTGCGTCCGGACGGCAGGAGTCGATAAGAGGAACAGGAACAGTGGAGGCGTCGACATGAGCTCCAGTACCTGCCTTTAAGGACCAGAATGGGGGCGGAAATCAAATGAGCCATTGAAAATATAATAAAAGTCATGAAAAGTGATTGCCTATGCACTTTCAGGTATTGTGTAGTCAGAGGCCTTGGAGAGCCATCATTTGAAAACAAGGCAATTTTGAGGCGAATGACTTCGGATTGGGGCCTGAGCCATTTTCTACACGATTCACGGAACAACTCCGAAATTTTTAAAGAAAAACTGAGAATACCTTTGAGATTGGGCCCCTGGATTCGGTAGCCGGCCAGGAACTCGCAGCCGGGAGCCGGCCAGGAGCCGCCTGTCGGGGTCGGAGCCACGCTAGGAGTACGACTCCAACTCCGCCGGAAGCCCAGTCACCCAGTCAACCTGAGTCCTGACACCGTTCCTGGGTTTCCGCGCCCCGTTTTTTCAGTGACGTTTCACCTCTAGCTTTGGCTGATGAGGGTGGTAACGCAAATAAAAAATTGTAACTTATTTACACTAGTATGCGAACTGCATAGGCCTCAAAACTGGTCGGTCCATGCTTTGTCTACGTCCTCGGCGTCCCCTGGCCCAGGCCTGCGCCCGGCGAGCGGCTGACGTCACGTGTGTCGGAGCGATAGGGGCCGGTCCGCCGCGCCTGCCGGGCCGCCACCGCGCCGAGAAAGGCCAGTAGCGGCGCCGCGCTGTCCGTCTCCGGGAGGGCAGCCGGTCAGCGCCCCGCCATGGACCTGTGCTGCCTGCTGGGGTACCTGCTCACAGGTAGGCCGCCTCACTCACCCCCCAGCGCTGCGTCCTCCCAGCCTGAGGGCGGGCGGGCACGGGGCCCAGTGGGATCCGTTATCGTAATAGAAACAAAGTGCGAGGTGATGCTAGTTTACATCATCCAATAGGATCATGTTGAACAAATTTTCCTAGATGTATTTGATATACCAACATCAGTGAAATCAGCACCCTGATGCCCGTCGAATAGCATTTATGCTTCTTTACCATTTTAAGTGAAGTAAAAGTTCACTTAAAATTGAGCGAACTTTAAGTAGTTAAGTTCATAAGTTCACATACATGCTTTCTATCACGTATCATTCGATTCGGCTGATCGAAAATAACAATGATAAACCATTTTTCAAGGTTTACCTTTACCTTGTGCCAAGATGCTAGCAAAACGAGTAGGTAGTAAAGTAATCTTGAGCAAACCATGAATTTGACCTCAGCTGACCTGAGTTGACGCGACCTGACTGTTTTTCCAGCAAATATACACAAACGTAGTCACTTACTGATATAAACTGAGGAAGCACAACACAAAAACATTGAAATGGGTAGGATATCTCTAATATTATAACACCACTTGTTGCGGGATTTACATTATATTCAACTACAAACTACGCCGGCGCTATGTGAACCCAGTCATGTCGACCACCTCAGTCGACGCGATAGGCTCATGCATTTCAAATCACACTGTAATGCACTCTGAGGGCAGAGTGCTGTGAGCTTCTTTCAGTATCGCCTCTTAGCGCCGCCAATGGTGATCGTCCGCCGCGACAGGACAGCCTCGAGACAGGCAAAAAAATGCATTGAGCGTAATATTTCCAGCAGCTCTCGAATGTCCTATTAATACGTTACAAGAAAGATCGCAAGCGTCGCAAAGCGTTGGACTCTTATTGCATTGGGGTGGCTGCATAGTAAAACGCTCTAGCGTTACACTATGAAAACTAACTCCACACACTACGCAATACAGGACTGTTCACGGCTTACCCACGACCGTATTACATTGTCCATCTATCCTCGTCAACATTCATCTCGCATCTAATATTCATCACGACCTCGATGTCATGACCGTAAGCGCGGGGTGGAGTGCTTCTCGCGACATCACCAGGATGCTGTGACACCACCGGGCGGTGGTGACGTCACCAGCGGCGCTCTGGGAGCTGCAGGGGAACCAGTGGCACCGGCTGGCGGCGCGCGCCGTGCACCAGGTAGCCGAGCTGGACGCTGTGGCCGCCCGTCAGGCCCGCCAGTCCCGGCACATAGATCACCCTCAGCAGACGCCCTACGACGCCGTACGGCAGCAGGTGTCTCAGCGCGGCCCGGGGCAGGAAGGCGACCTGCACGGCCGGCGAGACGGGGCTCAGCGCGGCCGGCCGCGCCGCGGGCGGGGCCGCCGCCGGCCCGGCACTCGGCGGCACCTTCTCGACTTTAGCCGGCTTTTTGACCGGGACTGCAAGCTGGACTTCGGTGGCTTTTAGCTTGGCGCCTTCGGCCGATTCGTCGACACCCCAATTGGCGATTTCAACGGGTGAGTCTATGTCAACTATCTCACCAGGCTCGGCAAAGGCAAGAGATTCGTCCACTTCGAGAGGCAGCTGAATAACTTCCACTGTTTCTTCCTCCCTTGTGGGTCCATACGACAGCGCTGGCGTTTCTGTAGATGCCTTATTCAGCAAGTATTCACCATCTGAAACACCGATTTCGCCCTGAGCTAAGCGTTCAACTAGCCCCGTGGGACCGGTTGCTTCAATACCATCAACAATACCATCGAAGTCAGTAGTCAAACCAATTTTAAGTGATTGATCTACTGCTATCGGTTCATCCAGTTTCACTGACTTTTCTTCCTTGGACAGGCTGTCCACAAAGAGGGGTTTGCTTGTTGTGATGTGTTCCTGCTTCGTCAGCGGCTTGCCCAGCTCTTTAGTGGTGCTGAGTTCGACATCAACAATGGCACCTACGTCACCCAACCCATTCAGCTCATCAAACCCACCCAGATCCGTCTCTCCTCCGAAGCCTCCCTCCAGCGTCAGCCCAGTGGGGACAATCTGGTTACCCGGTCCTCCAGGGCGACCGGTTAGCCCCTCGAGCTGCACAGCGGGTCCCACGGGCAGTCCTCCAAGCTGTCCCGTTCCGCTCTCCGAATTTCCTGCCTGAACATCAATCAATCCGGCTAAATCGCTGGACTTCCCAGCTGGATCTAGCGCGAACTGCCCGTCCGCAATCTCAAACTGCTCCGATGGGCCACCCAGCTGCTCCGTCAACTCTTCAAACTGCAACAAACAGCATGGGCCATCCGACTGATCTGCTGGGCCATCCAACTGACCCGGTGGGTCACCCTCCTGCTCTGTCAGCCTGCCCAGCTGGCCTGGTGGGCCGCCGAACTGATCTGCTGGGCCACCGAATTGCGCTGCCGGTCCGCCCGAGTGGTCCGCTGGTCCACCTAGCTGTTCCCCTATCCCACTGAAAGCTCCAGGTGATCCGCCTATCTGTTCCCCCGTGCCACCTATCGTACCGATTTGTCCGTTTGACTCTCCGGCTGTACCCAGTCCGCGCAGCTTCCCGGCCACGCCCCCCAGCTGCTCAAAGGTGATGCCAGACGTCACCGTGGCTGAGAAGTGGCCGAGCTGCCTATCCGGCCCGCCCAACTGCCCGGCGGCGCCACCCGGCTGTCCCGCTACACCGAGTTCCCTCGCCACACCAGCCAGCTCCTCCGCCGGGCTGTCAAAGGTAGCAAACGAACCATCGAGCGTGTCCACAGACGTCTCAGTCGGTCCAAACAGCTTCTCCGCCGATCCGTCCACTCTCCCTGTCGCGCCGTCCCACCTGTTAGCAGGGGCGCCGAGCTTCTCAGCTGCACCGGCTAGTTTCCCAGCTGGAGCGGACGGGCCGACGAGCGTCCCGTCCAGTCCGCTGAGGGACGTCCGCAGCCCGCCCCCGGGCCGTCCGGCCAGCTTCTTCCCGAAGCGGCCGCTCTGCCAGGTGCCGGCGCTCTCCGCGCCGTGGCCGTGGTAGGCCGCGGTCGGCCGGCCCCGTCGCGGCTCCCAGAACAGCAGCCGGCCCGTCAGCGAGTCGCTGGTGCTCAGGTCCTCGGCCGAGTCGCCGTCCTCGGCCGAGTCTCGGTCGGGCCCGCCCTGTGGCTCGGCGGACGGCAGCCACCAGGAGATGTTCTGGCCGCTGACGGCCAGTCGCTGCAGGTCGGCCGCGGCCTCCGCCTCTCGCCCGTGCGGCGTGTTCGAGAGGTCGGAGCTGGCGCCGGTCAGCAGGTTGGACGATACCAGCCACACCTGGCGCGGGCTGTACGGACTCGGGGTCGGCGCCGACGCCGCGGCGGCGACCAGCAGCAGCGTCTGAAACGGACCGCAGCATCAGCCGGCCAATATGTAGATAGATGAATAGATAGATAGATAGATATATAAATAGGCAATGTACTTAGACCCTCCATGACATGGATTATAGTTATAGCGTCTAGTTCGTTAGTTAGCATATTGGCACTTGATAAAAACATTATACACAAAACGAATATGGATAAAACTCACTTAAAATATAACACTTAAAACAAAACGTTAGCGATCAACACACTTGAACCGATATAAAACCATGTGACAAAACCTTGCTAAATCTAAACCGTTTCCCTTCATTAGCGCTCCTAAATCCCTAAAATTCAGGTTGGGGAAACTGTCCCTAAAAGGCTCTTGTTCAATATTGTAAGACATGTTTATAAAGTCTGATGGCCAAGAGTTGCGAACGAAAATTATAATTAAAATCTAAATCTTTTTGTATTTCAGACGTTTCGACAACACTGTGCCATCGTCAGTAATTGATATAAAATATTTCCTAAAGTCACAAATCACATTTTAAAAATAACATCAGCATTAAGAAATTACACATGGTAATGACATTTCGGTAATTTTACATTCGATCACGGTCGTTCCTCACAAGCGTGCTCCGTTTCAGCAAGGATAATCTGGCTAATCAAGGATAATCTGGATAATCAAAGGATAATCTGACCGTATGGTTACGTTATGTCGATGACGTGATCATAGTGTACCCAGAAGAGATGAAACTTGAAGAAAAAGTGCAAAGTCTTAACCAGGTAGACGCTCAAATTCAATTTACGGTGGAAAATGAAATGAACGGTGAACTTCCTTTTCTGGACACATTCATAATCAGAGAGGGTCGAACTTTGAAATACAAGGTATACCGGAAGCCATCGTGCAAAGAGGACTACATACACTATTTTTCTGGACACAACGAGAGGTACAAGAGGGGCATTGTAATAGGATTTTTCCTGCGCGCTTACCGAGTGTGCAGCCCGGAATATCTCGAGGACGAGCTGGAGCACATTTTTGAAAGATTTCAGCAACTCAAATATCCAAGAGGGTTTCTCATTTCTCAGAAGAAAAAGGCCCAGAGGCCAGAAGATTCGTGAACGAAACACTAATGAAAGAGAAAACGCAAGAATAGAAAAATCGAGTAGATTGCTCTGCATTCCCAATTTTGAAAAGGTGGATACGGTAGCACGACAGCTTGAACAGGCCGGATTGAAGACGGTGATAAGTGCGGGACACAAAAGTGGCGATATTTTTAAAAGGTGCACGCGACGAAGATAAGGATCACGAAAGTAGCATAGTCTATCAGATACCGTGCGCTGTTTGCGAAAAACAATATGTAGGCGAGACAGGTAGGGACCTAGGTACCCGTGTCGGGGAACACAGAAGAGACGTGAGGGGGCACGTGTTAAGTAATGCGATAGTGGTTCATGTGGATGAGGCCGGGCACTTACCAAGGTGGGAAGGGGCTGAAATTTTAGAGAAAGGTATGAACAAAAATATCAGGAGGGCACTAGAGGCTGCACACATCAAGACCAAGAACACACTTAACACAAGAGGGGGATTTTATTCGATGGCAGTAGCGACAGCCAGATTATCCTTGCTGAAACGGAGCACGCTTGTGAGGAACGACCGTGATCGAATGTAAAATTACCGAAATGTCATTAC